TGTTTTGCAGCCCTGCCAAGGACAGAAGGCAGTCAGTCCTACCTTCTTCCCATCCCCTGTCTGGTAAATTCCTCTGAGGGAAGACAACTCCGTAGAAGCCCAGCACTCTGCAGACCGAGCCAGCCTTTACTCAAGTCTTCCTCCACAATCTAACCCTCTCTGGACCCGTCCAGATGAATGTGCACATGCATTTCCCCAGGAACAAAAAACAGTGGCACATAGCTGTGTCATTGCTACTTGTTCCTGGGGAATGCTTATGCACGCACGTTCTGGCATGCAGCAAGTTGGGGTAGGGGAGGGTGGGGCTCACACCTGGGCTGGCCCCAGCAGCCTTACCAGGGGTCCTGGGGGCTTTCCAGGGCTCCAGCAGCAGCAGTGTGACATGCAGAGCCTGGCTGGCAGCTGGAGTATGGCTCCAGGTTCCAGTTTCAGGCTGTGCATGCTGCTGCCACGTGCACTGCTCCACTTTTTTCAGGTGTGGGGTTTTTTTGACACTGGCATCTCCTGCCTTGTGCAGGGCACTAAACTAAATTAGGTTACTTCCAGCCCTAATTTTCTATGCTTCTAAGGTAAAGTCCCTGCAGTCTTTGAGAACTTTGACCCTAAAGATAACAATGCTTGTTACACCTCTACGCTGTTGGTCCCTGCAGCCTCAGGCACTGCCTTTGTGGGTGGGGGAGATGGAAAAATACCCGTTATTATTTGCATGGCAGCACCCTTTACTGTCCCATGTGCCATGGCTCGCTGCCCCAGGTGCAGAGCTGCCCTGCTACACCTCTGCTGCTGCTGCTTGAATCCCCATGTTTTTAACTGACTTAAACCGAAGCAAAAGAGTGGCAGAAGGTCCTCAAGGTCCAACCAGGCTGGTAGTCTGGCTTCAACGGCAACCAGTGCAGCATTCTTCAGTGGAAGGCATAATACCCTTCAATGCACTAAGCTGAGAAATGTTACAGCCTGAGGGAATTATCCATCTCCCTGCGTACAACATATGTTACCCATAAACATTTTCCTCTGTGGTTTTTATCTGACTGTCAGGGACAGTTTGTATCTCTTGAGCACGGTTAAAGCTTCTCTCGTGCAGTGACAGAAACAGCAAGAAAAGGAATAACATTTAAACCAGGCTTGTCCAACATACGGCCCGCGGGCCGCCATGTGGCCCGCCAAGGCATTTTCTGTGACTCGCGGTGCTGCGACAGGAAATGAAAGTAAACACTGTTTACTTTTGTTCCCACCCCTTGTCCCTTCCCCAGCCCCTCAGCAGCTTCCTAATGGCTGCTGAAGGGCTGGGGAAGGGACGAGGTTCCCACACACATCGCGTCAGCTTAACGTTGCTGACGCAGTGCGTGTGGGAAGAGGAGTAGCCATGTGCCTCTTGGGACAGGAAGAGCCCGGCCAGAGCGGCAGGGGCTCAGCCGCACTTTCCCCCTGCCTGCGCCGGTCAGTCCCGAGCGGCACACGGCTCCGCCGCCGCCTCTGCTGGCTGGTTGCAGACCTGGCCGGCCTCCTCCTATCCCCAGCAGCACATGGGAAGCTGGCTTCAGCTGCATGCTGCTTTTCCTGGCCGGGGAAAATGCAGCTGAGCCACTGCCGCTCCAGCCGGACTCATCCCGTCCCGAGCAGCACATAGCTCCGCCACCGCTTCTCCTGGCCGGTGCAGACCCAGCTGACCCCCTCCTGTCCCCAGCAGCCTGTGGGAAGCCGGCTTCAGCTGCATGC